CTCTCTGCAGCGCACCAGCCGCAGTCAGCTTGGGGTCTCGCCCGCGCTTGCCGAGGTCAGGGGCGCCCAAGAGAGGGGCGAGGACGCTTGCGCTGGCTCGTGGCCTCCTCCCCTCTCTCTTTCTCTCCCCTCTGTCCCTCCCCTCTCCCTTCCCTCTTCCTTCCTCTCTCTGTCTCTCTCTCTCTCTCTCGCTCCCTCCCCTCTCGCCCTCCCCTCTCCCTCCACTTTATCCCTCCCTCTCTCTAGAGAGTCGTGGTCCCGGGCATGCTCGCGTCGTCGAACAATGGCGACTGGAGCTTTTTGGCTGCTTTTGGCCTCCTGGGGTTGCGAGGTAGCCCAGGACCGCCAAAAAACAACTCGGGACGTAGAAGCGGCCCTTGGGAAAGGTCCGGACTTCTGGGGGGGGACCCCGCCTGGGAAAAAAACAAGACATCGGATGTTTGGAATTGGTTCTTGTGGGTTCTCTCACCCCGGGATGCTTTCCGGCAGCTGCCTCGTCGAGAGCTTCACGGGAGTGCCCACCAGATCGTCCCAGACGGCTGCCCTGACGCCCGGGTTGTGCCCGTCCGCCACCTGGAATCGAAGAGGGGGGGAGGGCTATATGGGGTGAGGTGGATACCATGGCCGTGGCCACAGTCTCTCCCAGACTTCCATGGCTTCCTCCTCGTCTTGCTCCCCAACCAGGGCTTGCACTCAGGAGTTCGCATGTTTTGCCGAACGAAGCAATCGGACGGGCCCACTCGGTGTCTTTCCACGCTGTCGCCTCGTGGGCGCCCCGTCCGCGGGGGGGGGTCCGCCGAGGTTGCGCCGCGCTGCCGCTGCGTGCCGCCCGGTGGGCGCTCGTGGGCGCCCCGTGCGCTGAGCTTACAGCTCATAGCTTGCACCACACGGCTTGCACGGCGCAGCCCACACCGCACAGCGTACACCACAGAGCTTGCGCGACACAGTTGACAACAGCTCCGCGTAGCTCCCACCTACAGGCCACATCACTCACATCTCACACACACACACACACACGCATCACTCTCTCTCACACACACACACTTTACACGGCATAGCTTGCAACACACATCTTAGTTACAGCGTGCAGGTTGCACCACCATAGCTCACTTCGCATAGCTTGCACCACAGAGCTTGCTCCGCACAGCTGCCACCCCCACAGTGCCACAACTCGCTGCCCAGCATCCACGCTCGCTCACAGCAGTATTGACTATGTCATTATTATCGTCTCAACGCGTCTCCTTCCCCCCCCCTCTCGTCCGCGTACATGCCTGTGGCTATGATGCGCCCCCCCCTCTCTCACGCGCCTCCCTCTTTCCGGACCCCCGATGTTGCGATTTGTTCATAATGTCGACCCTCGGCGGTCTGGACACCTTCCCCAGGACCGGCTTTTCCTTCTGGGTCGCTTTTTGACGCTCCCGCGGTCTGGTATAGGGCCCCCAGAGACCGAAAATAGCGGCTAAACTGCCCAGCGTGCTTTTTTCATGGCGCGAGGGGGTCTGGGCTCTTCGGCGCTCCCCAGGAGGCCCGGTCGCCCATCCCGGGACGCTGGGAGGCCTCACCGCCGACGCCCGCAGAGGCCCGGCCGCCGGGCCCAGGGCGCGGGCGCTCTGCGTCCCCGGTGCTCGCGCCCGGGCTTCCGGCCACCGCGGACGACTCGACGCAGCAGCTGCGGGCCAGCTTCTACCTGAAGGCTTCGAAGAAGAGAAGCGCCCTGAACGTAAACTTTTGGCGCTCCGCGCGGATTTCGTGGATAGGCGCCTGGGCCCCCCCCCAGCGCCGCATCCGGCGCCGCCCCTGGCGAGCTTGGCGCGCTCTGCGCGCCAGGGACGGGGGCCCAACACAGATCCAAGAAATCCGCGCGGAGCGCCGAAAGTTCATGTTTATGGCGTTTTGCTCTTCTTCTAAGGTAGCCGAGCTGGAGGCCCTGCAAGCTTCCCTGAGGCTGGCCATGGAGGACTGCGACAAGAGCCGGCTGATGCTGAAGGAGGCGGACGAGGCGAAGCGGAGGAGGCGGAGGAAGCGGAGGGAGCGCGAGTGGGCCATTTGGTATCCGGCTGCCTGCGGCAAGCTCCGCCATCGTGCCATCACGGCAGCACGGCAGGAAAGCGAGCAAGAAAAAGCGCCATACATAGAAACGTTTGGCGCTCCGCGCAGATGTCTTGCATCCGCGTTGTGGCCCCCCTGGCGGCGCCTCCGGCGCCGCCCCTGGCGCGCTCCGCGCGCCAGGGAGGGGGTCCAGCGCAGACTCAAGAAGTCCGCGCAGAGCGCCAACAGTTTATGTTTCTGCCGTTTTTTCTTCCCGATCCAGTTCAAGGCCATGTCTGAACTGTCGAGGGTCTTGAGCACACTATCCTTGTCCGAGGCCTATTTCATCTCCTCTCTCTCTTTCTTTCTTCCTTCTTCTTCTCTCCCCCGTCCCTACTCCGGAGGGCTCATCGCAGGTATCTGGTCACCTGCTTGGGCTCCCGCCCTTGCAGGGGGCGCAACGGTGTGTCCCCCATCATCGCATGCTTATTGGGGGGCCTCTTGGGACTCTCTTAGGGATTCCTGAGGCCCCGTGAGGATATTGGGGACCCACTGGGGGTTCTCGCTTGTTCGAAGCCCAATTGGGGTCCCGTGGGGATCTCGCTTGTTGGGGGCTCAATTGGAGTCTCGTGGGGATATCGATACTGCATTGGGCGTGTTGGTCACACCCAGCACTCCAGACGAGGCACGGGTGAATCTTTGAGGTTCACCCCTGGCAGCCATCGAGCCATCTTGGGGCCCTCAGGGGAGCGTCTGGGGCCGCTTTTTGGTGGCTCTTGCAGCTCCTCGCTGGTCTGGGGCCTACCTGGGCCTCGCAGGAGGCATCTTTCGTCAGAGGAGGGCTAGTTGAGACAACGGTAGTTGGAGTTCGGGGGCCCCCTCGCCGCCACGGCTGGACGCAGCTCTGAGACCTGGTGCGCTTCGACCCCGGGAGAGGTCCAGGGATCGATCCTGAGTTGCCGCTGTCTCGGTTCTCCCTGCTCCAGTTTGGGCGTCTCCTCGGGGCGTCCGAGTGCCCCTCGGGGCCTGCTGGGGACATCAGGCCTTCTGGGGGGTCCGTTGGGCTGGTCTCAAGTCGGGCCTGTCTCTCTACTGGACGGATATTCAAAAATAGTCAGGGGACGATTCTTTGAGTATTGGTGATTATTCTGGAGTATGTTGGGGGTATGTTTTAGTTTTCGTCCAAAATCCGTCTGTATGGAGACATGCCCGACCTAAGGCTGGTCCGTGAAGCTGTCTTGTGGCGCCACGGAGCCGAAGAACACGAGGGAGCACGGCAGCGGGACAGTTCTTCGGATGTGCGCGCCAGGGGCGCGTCGGCCCTGGGAAGCTGAACAGGGCCTGCCAGGCAACCAGCAGCACTCCGACACAGCACGTCGAGCAGGCGTGCTGCGGATTCCTGCCCGACCGCGGACTACGGCGCGGTGAGCCGCCAGCTTCTGGAGGAGGTGGAGGCCTGGAAGAGGCAGGCGCTTGCCGAGCTGGAGCCCGCGCGGCACTCCCCGAGGCCAGCCGCCGGGGAGTGCGGGCAGGGCTGGCGGCCGCTGGAGGGGTCGGAGCTCTGGAAGCGACGGCAAGTTCCCGCGCAGGAGCCTGCGTGGGGCTCCCAGCATCGGGCCGCCGAGCTGCACGGGCACCGCCAGCCTCGGCCTGGCCTCTCCGAGCAGATGGCCGAGCTGGGGGCTGTGCAGGAGGAGGCGGGGCAGCCGAGGCAGCTGGTGGCCGAGCTGCAGGCCAAGCTCTCCGAAGCAGAGCGGCATCGGCAGGCGGCTGAGGACGAGGCGTCCTGGCTGAGGGAATGCGTCGGCATGGCGGCGCAGGAGCTGCAGCAGCTGAGGCAGCGCTCGGCGGCCCAGGCAGAGGAGCACGCGAACTCGTCGAAGACGGCAAGGCGCACGACGCTGGAGTTGCAAGAGGAGGTGCGGGCAGCCAGGGACGAGGCGTCCTCGCTGAAGGAATGCGCGGGCATGGCGGCGCAGGAGATGCAGCAGCTGAGGCCACGTCTGGCGGCCCAGGAGGAGGAGCACGCGAGTGCCACGGAGGCAAGGCGCCCGACGCTGGAGTTGCAAGATGAACTGCGTGCGGCCCAGGACGAGGCGTCCTCGCTGAGCCAGCGCCTTGCGGCCCAGGCAGAGGAGCACGCGAGTTCCTTGGAGACGGAACGGCGGACGATGCTGGAGCTGCAGGAGGAGTCGCGGGCGGCCAAGGACGAGGCGTCCACGCTGAGGGAGTGCGCGGCCATGGCGGCCCAGGAGATTCAGCAGTGGAGGGCGCAGGTCGGAGGCCGTGCGCAGTCGCTGCAGGCGGCGGAGGAGCTCATGCAGAGGTGTGCAGAGGAGGCGCGCGGCCAGGTGCGGGCGGACGGCGGTGGTGGCAGCACGGATGCCGGCAGCAGGGCTCCGGCCTGGCAGATGCAGGAGTGGCTCGCCTCGATCGGCCTGCTGGCCCCGATCGCCGACAGGATCCTGAGGCCGATCCAGCCGGATCCCGACTTCCTTCGGCTGCAGCTGCCCTACCTCCGGGCCCTGGGCCAAGAGCCACGGCTGCGCGAGGCGATACTCGCTGTCGTCCAGCAGGCACATGGGGAGCTCGCATCACAGATTGCCAGCAGTGCTGAGCAGCTGGGCAGTGCGGATTTGGTGTCGCTGGTCGTCGAGCAGGGCTCGCAGAAGCGAAAAAAGGTTATCTGAAGGGCTTCGCTTCTTGCCGCTGGCCTCTCCTTTCGGTTGACTGGATGGCTCGTTGGATGGCTGGTTGATTGGCTGGTTGACTGTGTATTACTTGGCAGGGTGGCTGCCGGGCTGGTTGGCTCTCTGCTTGGCTTGCTTGTTACTCAACTGGCTGTCCGATTGGCTTGATGACTGACTCGGATGGATTGCGAGCCATCTGGCTGCTTAGATGATTAGCGACTTGATTGGCCGGTGCCCAGCAGTGCCTGCACCCAAGGGCTCTTGCTCTCGTTCTGCGGGGTTGGCCACGTCTCGCGTAGCTACATGCACGCAAAAGCGAAAGCCCTGAGCTCCGACGTGGCGAACAAGCCGTGCAGCATCGCGAGGCACCACGGCCGTCCACCCCATCTCCCTGCTGCGCTCTTCGAGCCGGCTCGACCTGTGATGGCCCCAGGGGGCCCGACGCCGGGAGGGGAGACGCCCCGCGAACGAGTTGCAGTGCGTGGCTGCATGCTCCCCGTGTGCTATTGGACCGTCGTGGCTTTGACCGCTCGGACCCCCCTCGCACAGTGTGCCGCCCGCGCCCGCGTGGCCCTGTCCGGCACACGTCTCCCCGTGGGTGTTCCGGCCTGGTCCGCCGTCGTCCCGTGCCCCGCCCGGTCTTGCGCGTGCCTGTCCCGCAGGTGTTTGGACCAGTGCGGTTCTGGCTGCAGGTGCTGCGGGAGGGCGCAGGAGGGAAGGAGCAGGGAGGAGGGAGGGGGGGGGAGGAGGAGGAGGAGGAGGAGGAGGAGGAGGAGGAGGAGGAGGACCACTGCAAGCTCAAGAGTCATCAAAGATGCTGGCACAAGCCCTACCTCCAAGCTCCCTCTTCATAAGACCCTGCAGGGTTCATTTCCACTAAGGGAACTGCCTCGTTGGAAGGCAACCAATTCAAAACCCTGAAGCATGCCAAAATATTTGATTATTCTCGGGACTCCAACGCCACGGACCAACCAGACTGTTGCGTTGTGACAATCCTGAATCGTGCCAGAACGCCATTATTGTGGCTTCAACGCCGCGAATCAACATAACGGTTGCACCCTCACAGTCCTGAAGCTCGCCAAAACACATGTTCTGTTGCAGCGTTTTTTGTTGTAAAAAGAATGTGCGCGGTGCCTAGGTGAGAGCCACACTTTGAAAAGGAACCGCCCTCAGTCCGTGAAGCTCTTACACATTACAAATATGTAAAACGAGGGTGCGCGGTGCTGAGGCGAGAGCCACAGTTTGAAAACGGGCCACCCTCAATCCGCAAAATTCTTGCATTGTTAGAAACGAATGTGCGCGGCACTGAGGCTACAGCCACATTTTGAAAACGGCCCGCCATCAATCCGTGAAGCTCTTGCAATAATTTGCAACGAACGTGCGCGGCGCTAAAGCGAGAGCCACAGTTTGAAAACAACCCGCCCTCCATCTGCGAAACCGTTGCCAGTGCTTTAAAGTTCCAAGGTCATAAATGGTGAGGAAGTCTCAAGCGGAACGCCCAGCCCGCCCTGAAAATTGGCTTCGGTGCGCGACAGGGAAAAGTTATTCGTAGGAGAATGGAGCGGAGGAGGAGGAGGAGAAGAGGAGGAGGAGGAGGAGGAGGAGGAAGAGGAGGAGGAGGAGGAGGAGGGGGAGGAGAGGAGGAGGAGGAGGAGGAGGAGGAGGAGGAGGAGAAGGAGGAGGAGGAGGACGGAGGAGGAGGACGAGGAGGCGGAGGATGAGAAGGAGGAGGAGGACGAGGACGAGGACGAGGAGGCGAAGGGAGGAGGAGGAGGAGGAGGAGGAGGAGGAGAGGGGCCCGCCTTCGAGGATCGAGGGAGCTGGTCTCCTCTTCCCCCGGCGGAAGGCGGCGGGAGTGAGATGGGGAGCGGCCTCGCCGGCGGAGGCCGGCGGGTGTCAAAGCTGCCCCCCCGCCAGGAGGTGGCAAGGTTGGGGGGCTCAAGGTCTCGAGCAGGGGGTCGACTACAGAATTCGTCGTCGTCCTCCTCCTCCTGGTCGTCGTCGTTGTCGTAGTCGTGGTCGTCGTCGTCCTCCTCCTCCTCCTCCTCATCCTCTTCTTCCTCCTCAACCTCCTCCTCCTCCTCCTCAACCTCCTTCTTCTCCTCCTCTTCCTCCTCCTCCTCCTCCTCCTCCTCCTCCTCCGTTGCCCCCCAAGGAGATGGCAAGGTTTGGGGGGCCAAGGTTTCGAGTAGGGGGTCGGCTACAGAGTTGATTCACCACAGAATTAGTCCCCATCGTCGAGTCTACAAAACTTGCGTAGGATGCTCCGTAGATCCGCGAAGCATTCTGCGCAGTCGTTCGTAGATTCGACGGGCAAATCCATGTCTGGGCGAATCAATTCTGTAGTCGATCCCCTACTCGAAGGTTTCTGGATCCAACCATTTATTATCGAAGACGCCTACGGCGAATCACCGCCGCCCCCTGCCTTTGTGGAAGCGCCTAAGTGGCCGAACGTTGAGGCCAGACCTGCCAAGCTATCGGACCGTTTGGAAAGCCTTCGGGGAACACGGGGGTATCTTGAAGGTCACTTTGGCAGCCTGGAGGCCATTTTGACCATTTCGGGCCTTCTTGGAGGACGACTTGGAGGGCTCGTGGGCCGTCTTGGAGGCCATCTCAAGCGTCTGGGAGGCCTCGTGGGCCGTCTTGAGGGCCTCTTGGGGCCGTCTTGGGCGCCTCTTGGGCCGTTCTGGGGCCATATTGGAGGCCTCTTGGGCGATCCGTGGGCGATCTTTGGGAGCTCTTGGGCCGTATCGGGCCGTTGGAAGGCCGAAACGAAGCAAATGTCAAAATCCTTCAAAAGCCTACGGAACATTCTTTTTGGCTTTTTCTGGCCTTCCGGGAGGCCCTCTTGGAGGCCTCTTGGGCCGTCTTGGGCCAGCTGCGAGCCACCTTCGGCCATCTTGGTGGGCTCCTGGCCCGCCTGACGCCGTCAAAAGCCGTTTCGGGGGCCTTTCTGGGCCGACTTGGGGCCTTCTTGGGGTGCTCCATGGCCGTCGTAGAGGCCATCTTGGGCGTCTTCGAGGCCTCTTGGGCCGTCTTGGCGCCCTCTTGGGGCCGTCTTGGGGCCCTCTTTGGCCGTTCTGGGGCCATCTTGGAGGCCTCTTGGGCGATCTTGGGGCGACCTTGGGGGCCTCTGGGGTCTTGGGCCGTCGGAAAGCCGAAATGGCGCAAATGTCAAAATCCTTCAAAAACCTTAGGATAATCCCTCTGCGGGCCTTCCTGGAGGACCTCTTGGAGGCCTCTTGCCGGCCTTTTGGGCTGTCTTAGACCATATTGAGGCCATCTTGGGCCGTCTTGGATGCATCTTGGGGCCATGTTAGCCGTCTTGGAGGCCATCTTGGTTGTCTTGGAGGCATCTTGCAGGCCATCTTGGGCCATCTTCTTGATTTTTTGAGGAGGTCCCGAGCGAAACGGCCGTTTTTGGGGCTTTGCAGCCACCTCTGGGCAAGCGTCCCGGGACCCCGGCGGGACGCGCCGGAGGCCGGAGCCCACTGGGAGAGTCCTGTTAGAAAAAGAACCAAAACCAAAACCGAGAGGACTTCACACGCCAGGCACCCCTGTGATGAATCAACAGGGGGCGGCGGATCCAGCTGCCCGCGGCAGTTCCCGCCACCGTGCCACCGCAGCACTCTGCGTGGGGTGGCGGCGCTGCGAGGCCCGCCCAGAAGGCTGTGAGGCGTCACGGGCCTCTTGTCTCTATTCTTGCTTGCCGTCCGCTGTCTTCCCTCGAGCAGTGGCGAGGCGTCCTGGCTCGCCTGTAGGCCCACAAATGATGTTCTAAGAGCCGGCTGTGGTCTGCACGAAACGTTCTTGGAACATCTCTGGCTGGGGCTGTCTCGTCTTAACACATCGGCTTTATGTTATGAGAACCGTGCTTCTGTTCTTAGATCTTTTCTGTATTCTAAGAACATGTCGTGGTTGGCCTGTAGGAATGCCGGGACGGTCGGGCCCTGCTCGATTCCCTGCGTTTTCTCGTTCCTCCATTGGGGGTGCGCGCTCCTGGCTCGCCCGGCGGTCTCAGGCTTCGCGGCATGGAGTCATTTGCGCAGTGGCCCTGCGGTGGGACAAATATATTTCCAAGGGCGCCCTCGAGGGCGCGAAGTTATTGGCGCTTCGCGATTCGCGGTTCAGCTCCGATTCCTCCTCATCCTCCTCTTCTCCCCTGGGAGGCGGCGCGAGAGCGCGAAGCTATTCGCACTTCGCGCTTCGAGCAGCGCGAAGCGCGCAGTTGGGAACCCTCGATCTCTTGGGGGCTCTCCTGGAGGCTGCCTGGGCCCCCCAGGGACACGCTGCGGACGCCGGCGCGAGCAGTCGCCGCGCCTCCGCGTGGTCTGCGCGCGTCGCACCGCAGGCGATGTGCACGGGCCCGCTTCCCCCCCCCCACGCGCGGCCTCGGTGCCCGCCGCGGCGCTGCGCAGGCACAAACGTGGCTTCGCGAGTCTCGGGGCGTGCACCCCGTACGGCCCTTCTGGGCCGTCATCGTGCCTTTCTCGGGCCGTCCTGGATCCCTCCTGGCCGTCTGGGGGGGCCTCCTGGTGCCGTCTTGGGGCCCTCTGGGGCCGCCGTTCGGGCGGTCCTGTGTTGTCCTGGACTCGGGGGCTCCTCGGGGCTGTGCTGGACTGTCTGGGTGGCTTCTTGGGGCCCTCCTGTGGCTCCTCCGAGGCCCCCTGGGAAAAGTATGCTTCCAATTCACGTTTGGATTATGTTGGTCTTCCCGGAGGGCCTCTTGGCCATCTCCCTAGCGCATTGGAAACCTGCTGGGGCCCATGTTAATGCGTGCGTATCCCTTGTTGGAGGCTTCGGCGTGTCTCTTGAGGCAAGGCTGTGCCAGCGTCCAGGCACCCACGGAGCCTCGAGAGGGATGCCTTTGCACGCAGAGTTGTGTGACGAGAGGGGGGGGCTTTTGACAGACTCACAGGAACCTTACAAAACAGAACTTGGCATTCTACCACTCCTCAGTGTGTCGGCGGGGCACGGTGGCAAATCACGTA